CGACTATGCTACAGATTGGTGGAGTGACTTGACAGGTGGTGGCGGCTACTACTACGGCTCTGTGGTCTGCGACCCATCTGGTGCCGGTGGTTCTCGTCCGGCTATTGGTGTTACCCGCTCTGATAACGAAGATGATGGGAGAGATGATGATGATGATGAGTGATGCCAGAGATTAGTGACAGCTTGTAGCCCCTTTGTCCTTAGTATGTCATTGTTGGACCTTTGTGGTGATTGATGACAAAGGGGGAGAGAGACTGATTAAAGCTTCAGTGGTTTCTGGACTTGAGAAAATTTGTAATGAGTGCTATGTATGAATTACATGTGTCATATTTATTTTCATAAGGACTATGCATGCTAGAATGAAAATATTTGATGTGATGCCTTTATATTTATTCTTGTATGATATATCTTGTCATATGCATCACGGTTTCTCTTTGTCACACACACATGCACCCCACGGATGCAATAATTTAGGGGGAGTCTCCTATTTGTTTTAGTATGTGCAATTGACATTTGAGGTCATTTTGTGAATTCTAATCATAAGCACATATTAAGGGGGAGCCTCTCATAAATCATTGAACCCAAAAGTTCAAATGTTTATATCATTTTGTAAGCTTTAATCAAGTTGTCATCAATCACCAAAAAGGGGGAGATTGAAAGTGCATTTAGCCCTTTAGTGGGTTTTGGTTGATTGAATGACAACGTGATTAAAGGACTAACCCGTTTGCTAAGTGTGAACAGGTAATAGGTTATCTCACAGGTACTTAATGAAAGCCAAAATGATGTGTTGTTGTATAAACAATCTAGTTCAAGCGCAAGACAACAATGCAAATGGAATTCATGTGAAGGCTTATTTTTTGTGGGATTTTCATGTACTATGTGAAAGCAAGCTCATGATTATTAGTTAATGAGACATGAGGGATTGCGTATGGAATGGTCTCATATTTGAAGCTTGCTAAATTAAAATGAAAAAGATAACAATACATATGAATGGATGATTCAACACAAGATGTGACTTGATGGCTTGAGATGGTGAAGATAGCAAGGAAAGGCTTCAAGGTACTAAGCAAGGGTGAAGGGCAAGCGACGGCTTGGCGGCCGAAGAACCTAGCTAGGGTGAAGAAGAAAGTACTTGCATTTAGTTGAGGTACTAATCAAGCTAAGATGGTCATATTGATGTGAAGAATCAAATCTATAATGAAGTATTTGATGGAAGTGACTTGATACATTTGGGGTTATTCAAATTTGATGAATGGAATCAAGTCACATGCTCAAGATGGCTATGCTCAAATGAAAAGATCAACATCAACTTGTTAGCACCCTTACTTGATGAAGATTGGAAGGGACGGCATCAATTCAAAAGAAATCAACTCAAGTGGTATAAATTCATTTTTCCTTTGATCTTGAGTTTAATAGGTATGCCGTACTATTAAGAGGGATGCATCATGTTGATAGATAATGTTTCATAAGTGCTCAAGCCAACCCATGTGAGGTTTGATTATTTGAGCGACAAATGTGCTAATCGATTTCTTCTTTGATCCGGCAATACGGACGTGTCCGTACTCATCTGGGACGTGTCCCAGATTTGTCCAAAGAAATGTAAAATTATTGTTCTCGGGTTGCTTCGTCGGGAGTTCCGATGTAGGTCGGGAGTTCCGACGGTCGGGAGTCCCGGCATGGGTCGGGAGTTCCGACGTCTCGCACTTCAACAGACTTAGAGGTTTCACTGTTCTGGTCATACCGGACGTGTCCGGTATTCACACCGGACGTGTCCGGTATGGATGACCAGAAGCCAACGGCTAGTTTTGAAAAGCCGTGAGGGTCGGGAGTTCCGACATGCGTCGGGAGTTCCGACACCTCACTAACTTTAACTCAGTTACATGTTTTTCAAAATTGCTGAGTGTCGGGGGTCGGAAGTCCCGGCATACTTCGGGAGTTCCGACGCCTCACAACATCATCAGAATTTAGTTACCGTTATGCGCGATCTGAGTCATACCGGACGTGTCCCGGTATGCATACCGGACGTGTCCCAGATTGCAACGGCTATAAAACGGCTTAGTTTTTCAAGGGCTATATAATACCCCAAGCCTCCACCTTTGGAGGTCGCTGATTCTCTTTGAGATAGACACATGTTTTTGAGCCTTGCCAACTCTCCTAAACCCTCTCTTAGTGAGTGTGTGATCCAAATTGCAAAATCAATTTGTGGGTTGAGAGAGAATTTGAAAAAGAGAGCAAGCCACCACTTGAGCACTTGTGCATATTGTCAATCTCGTGATTCGCATTTGTTATTCTTGGACTCTTCGGTCCTAGACGGTTAGGCGTCACCGGAGAGCAACCGAGAGATTGTGGTTGCTTCGAAAGTTTAGAATTGGCCGATTCCGCCGCCTCGAATCAAATTAGTGGAAGGAGGAAAAGGAGTTGGAAAATACTCTAGCTAGAGTGACCTTCGTGGTACCCTCTAGGGCTGACCTTCATTGGTCGCCTGCAGCCCCCTCAACGGAGAGTAGGACTCGACGAGTCCGAACTTCAGTAAAACAAATATCGTGTCTAAATTCGCATTTCATTTGATATTTGTGTTGCTCTAGCTGCTCTGCGCAGTTCTCTCTGTGTATATTGTCATCTCCATTAGGTGCCTACAGCTTGGTTTGAAGATAGAAATCGAAAGGAGCAAGTTCGGGGCTGATTTGCGAGAATCGTGTATATCTGGGACACGTCCGATTCATACCGAACGCCTGGTATTTCCTGCTACTGACCGAAAATATTTATTCTCTGTTCTAACTTGGTGTTGCAGGGTTGTAGCTTGTAGATATATTCTTTATACCTTGTTTACTTTGTGGCTAACTTATGAGGGGTGGTAGTACTCTTAATTTGGAGTTTCCATTTTGGAAACTCCCCTTTCTAATTGTTTCCGCATTTAAAGGTGTTATTTTTCAGAAACGCCTATTCACCCCCCCTCTAGGCGGCATCCTAGGTCCTTTCAACTACAAAGGCTCAGAAAAGCTATTGAGAAGGCCAAGGTTGAGTTTTTCTCTACTATGCATACTAAAACCTATGTCCCCGTTTATCGTTGACGATGCTTTTGATGCAAAGCAATTCAATATTACCATGATCAGATATAGGTTTAAGTCTCTTGTGAGCAATCTCATAGAGGGACTCTCATCCTTTATGTGATCTGCCTTAAGGATATTGGCAGGACGATGGACCCATGTTAGAATGTCGCACCAAAAAATATCCACGTTTTTGTCTATGATTTATTTCCCATGAATACATGTGGGTACTATAATAACACTAACTACACCAAATAAAAGATTAGAGAGAATTTGCATTGCCTCCAGAAGAATTTATTTATTAAGTTCTTTGGACTCTATAGGTAGTTTTGAAATATCTGTTTGCATGTCTTACCTCATATCCTAATTTAAAATTTTGTAGTTTAATTAGAATATTTAGGTGATTATATATATATAATATTCAATACAAGAATAATCTATGCATGATCTTCTTGAAAGATTTCTACATTGTAAAGACATTCGTTTTTCATGCATGCCCGTGCTAACGCTACGGTAAAAATAAAAGGACAATATATCAATTAAAAAAATAAAAACAAAAGTCATGCTCAAAGTTAAAGAGATAAATTATGGATGCTTAAATTTTGTCATCCATTATCTACCGGCATGCCTATAAAATAGACTGAATAAACAATTAAACATAGATATAAAACTAAATTAATAAAAGAATCATTGCAAGACATCAATCATCTCATAGCTTCGGACAATATCGTAAAGCTACTAAAAATTATAACCGTGCCCTCACTTCAAACATTGTCTAGATAAATAGATTACAATAAAAGAAATGGATATTAGAGATTTCTTCCTGCCAATATAAAATATTATCTTAGCCGCATCACGGAAAAGTCTATAAAGTAGAGTTTGTGAGCCTGCGACGCCGCGCACTCCGTGACTGTGTTAAATTCATGAACTTTGTTTTTTTAGATTAAATGTCACTTTAACGTTGGTATTTAATTTTTACAGTATTGTTATCTTATCATGCGATACGTGTATTTTTAGTATAAATTATTAGTTATCCCGTAGCAACGCACGGACACGCTAACTAGTTATCTAAAAACTCGAGTCAAACTTGCGACACGAAAACCAAAAGCGACAGATAATTTAGAACAGAGAGAGTACTTCCTTCATGTCCTGAAATACAAGAGATAGAAGTTTATCCGGATTCAAAGTCTGATAACTTTGACAAAAAAAATTATATAATAGTAACGACATCAAATTAGCATTATTGGATACATTATGTAATATATTTTTCATAATTTACATTTTTATGTAATATATATTAATACTCTTCTCTATAAAATTGTTTAAACTTTGCATAGTTTGACTTAGGTCTAGTGTTTGCCTAAATGGCCGATTAAACAGACCTGTTAGATCAAACCTGAATCCATTATACTAGCCCTTCTGGAACAAAGAAAATATGAAAGAATTTGAGAGGATTCTTATAAGAAATTGTTTTATTGGAACCCTTTGGAACAAAGGATCATGTTTCTATAAATCATATAAAATTACTATTGAAATGCTTATTTTACAACAATTTTGAAGAAACTCTACCAAAAGATTTAAAATATTCTGCAAATTCCTATGTTTTCTTTCAATCCATAGGAATCAAAATGTTTACATTCTACTCCTACCCTTTTCCTATTCCTATGATTTAAAAACCCTGTGTTCCAACTTCCAAAGAGGCGCTAAAATGCACCAGTTCCATTTGATGCGACAAAATAAATGACATTTTTTTTTTTCAAAAAACAGCCTGCAGCCTGTGAGTGAGAAATTTGATAATACCATAAGTTCAATATCAAGAACCAAAACATCTTGTACAAAACTAGGGTTTTAACTCTCGTCGATAGTAGCACAAGAAATTGGTTGATAGGGAACATAGCAAAAGCTCCCAAGCAGTCAAGTCTCCAGGAAATCGTACAAGCCTAATTGGAAAGTTTAGAACACCCGGTACACCTTTCCCATAGTGCTCTTGAGGTACAGGCATCTCACCTGCAAACACACAAGATGCCAGTTACTCAGAGGTTAATCATATAGGCGCATAAGCATGAACTCTATCCATGTGAACATTGAGACACATACATTCTGCCAATTCTTCTTCAAGAGTGACACGAGGAAGTTGACGCTCATTTGCACATTCTGGAAGATCTGCTTCTCCTCCATACCACAGTTGCCAACAGCAACACCCATGCAAAGCACCTTCTTTAGCTGAAACTTAACTGTAGCCTTTGTCTCATTAACCTTGGACTCAAGGGATTCCTGGTGAGTCACCAAGGTAGGGAACTTTCCTGCAGTAAGTTACAATTTGAAAGATGAATACAGATCATTAGTGCAGACTGCAGAAGTTTAAGGAAATCAACTTTTGCCATCACTTATGCTACACATAGACAACATCGTAGCTCACAAGTTATTATAGCGGCAATGACCATTCAAGATGGCATTATAAAAACAAGAATAAAAAACTAACAACTCATTAGGATTGCTGATGGCTCCCATGAAAAAAGGAATAAGATAAATGAATAGGTCTACAAACAATGTACAAACACAGAGCTGCGACAATCACCATGCTTTATACCAATATACCACCCAAGATAGCTGCGCCCTAATCCAAACTAGCATACCCTACAATTAACAACCATCCTTTGAAACATAATTACAATACACTCCTCAAGAACAATAATAGTGTGCACGCTCACAAGATACAGTTCAGTAGATAAAGGTGAAAAAAATGTAATATTATGAGATCCGAGCAAAATAGGGCTCAAGATTGAAGAAACATTTTTGCCACCAATTTAGCTTAAACTAATAAATAAATGCAGAGGTAATTGAGTTAAATACAAAAACTAATAGCATAGTAACAGACTATAGATCCAACAGACAGAAAAGGAAGAGGTCCTTGCCTGCCTTGTTAAGACCAGGACCAAGAAGACGAGGAATTTGCTTAATGATAGCCTCAGACGCAAGGAAAGCATGGTACTTCTTTGCCAGCTTCTTGACTAGCTTCTTGTTTTTGTTCATCTTCTTGAGGGCTTCCACATCCATACTGTCTAGACCTATTCTCTCGGCCTACATACAGCATAGTACCAACATTAGAACAGATAAATCAGAACAAAGCCAAACAAGGCATTACCAATGAACTTGTCTGGAAGGACACTTGTATGGTTCTATTCAGCGATTCAAAACTTGTTGATGTCATGGAGAGTTATACTAATATATAAGCATACGACTTAAATATAGCAGAGCAAACAATTGAAATTCTGAGAACAAATAATTTTACACAAAAACATGGGATGCAATGATGGAAGCATAACATACCTCCTCAACATGCTGAGCATCACCAAGCATGCAAACCTTCATCTTAGGGCGAGGGATGTGAGGCAGCTTAACAGAACCACTGAAACGCTTGTCCTTTTGAGGGTCATAGTTCTTGAGACCAATCTGCAGCTCAATGGTTTCAACAAACTTGCGCTGCTTCTCACGGGAATCATTGGTAATCGAGGCAATCGCCTCCCTCAGCGCATCACTCTGCAGCTTACTGAAACAAGGAAAGATGAAACAATTAATTGCATGATGCATTAAGGCCCTTGTTTTTTATATATTTTTACAAACAATAGTGATAACACGCTCATAGCAAAATTTGTCTTAGATTTAAGTAGATCTTTTGACATGACATTTGTTAAGAAACCAATTCAAGGGAACACAGATGATTGCACAAGGTTAAACCAAAAGGAACAGGAAAGAACCAGCTACCTAACAGAAGTATATTACAAAACTGAACCTGCAGAATATAATAGTCTAATCTAATGCAGCAAGCAATGGGCTAATAAGACAGAAAAATCCCTGAAAACTCCAACTACTAAGATTAACAAGTTAGATATTCCCCCAATCCCCACATTTACATAGGTACAGCTTAAGGAACCAACCAGAACTAAGAGAATTGCTAGCATGCTAATTTCCAGAAATCACATTAAGTCATACAAAAGACCCAGCAGACTAATTTCAATCTGCCAAATTCTACAACATAGTAAAATGTACAGAATCTGATCCGCTGCCAATGGTGACATTGAAATCTTGGGGCAGGCCAACGAAACAAACTAATAACGAAAATGGGAATGGAAAATATACCATCAAACATCTATATAAATCTACACATAGCCGGTAAACAACATAATACATTAGAGGCTCACATAGCCAATCAAGAAACGGTAACTACTATGAAGAGCTAGCCATATCGGCAACTATAAAAATACAACGAGTGCATCACGTTACAGAGATATTCACATGTTCAACAGATAAAGCAGCACACATCCACAGTGAAACAGAAGAGCAGTGTAGTGATACCTCATGTCGCCGCCGCCAGAAGTGCGAACAACGTTCCTGCAAAGAGACGAGCAAGAGTACAAGGTAAGATTAAAGGAACAACTGCAATGGTCGCAATGAGTATGGGGAAGTATGGGGTGAGATTAAAGGAACAACTGCAATGGTGTGGTCACTTGGCATGGGTGTGTACACATGTACATCCGATTTTTTTCCCCCAAAAAAATCGAAGTTAATACGCATAATATTGTATACACTTGAATTTAGATCAGATCGGAACTAAATTGCGGATACAGGATACAAGATACGAACTAGATATACAGTTTGATTACGCATCAACTCTGCTTAAACACCTAGTCATCAGTTCAAAAGAACAAGCCAATACACTACCAGATATGCATCTAGACCATTGCTGACCACGCGCATGAAACAAATTCGCATCTAGAACATGTTGCCATTTGCACCAAACAGACCTTGAGATCTCCTGATTCCACTACTACAGAATTCAAATCCTGATTCCGTGAATTACGGCGGGAAGTTGGGTCTCACCTTCGGGCTGTGGTCGGGAGAGGATAGCGGGCGACAGAGCGAGCGGCGGCGGCGTCCGGCTGGGAGCGTGGCCGACTGCCGCTGGGAGTTAAATACCTTGGGGCTAGGGTTATACCGTGGGCTGGGCCGGCTGTGGATCTTTCGTGGTTACGAAGAGCTTCTGAGCTTGTGAGCCCGTCATAGACACGCGTTCGGTTAAGCTCTGAACCATGAAATTGCTGGGCCCAATCCGCTTCTCCCAGCGGCCCACGGCTCGTCAGCCGTTTTTTTCTTTTACCCGTGGGTGTGCGTCGGGCGCAGCGCCTCCTCTCCTCGCCGCGACGCTGCCGTGGTCGCGATTCAGCGCCGTGCCCGAGGCCCCTCCCTCCCCTCAGGAATCAGGAGTCAGCGCCGCATCTCCGGTTGCGGAGACTTGCGCTGCCACCTCTCCGACCTCTTCCCGGCCTTCAGCTGGTGCCTACACGCCGGTGCGTCGGCGACGCGGGTCCTTCGAAGAAGACGGTTTGTTCTCGGATCAGGCGTCAGCCGGAGTCGAGGGACACAGATCATTCGGACGCGGGTTCTTGTGTGAAGTCGATCTCGGGTGCCGCCACGACGAACCGGCTTGTGCTGTGTAGATCCGGCGAAAGCGCGCAGCCAACCCCCGGTCCTGCCGGTTTCACTGGCCTCATCGTCTTCGTATTGCCATTGCGACGAAGGTTGGCTCCTTCTTTCTCGCCCCCACCTCTCTTATTTATCGTGTTTGAAATTGCACGCCCTCTTCGAATTGAAGAATTATATGTTGAATTATCTAGATTCAATCTTCCTGTGATCCCTTTCTGCGGTCCAACCGAAGAACTGCGTAATATAGTTTTCAGTGCTACGTCTAAGCGGGCTGATCTTGATCTAGATTTGGTCGAGAGGGATTTTCTTGCTGGGAAATCGCTCAATGATGGCCAACTATGCTTTTGCTCGTGTCGGTTAGTTAAAAATTGCTTGGGTGGATCATATGGCTACTGAACAGTTTGGTATCCTCGTAGCTGGGCCTGAACATTGACATAGTCTCTAGAGACTACAGACTGATGTTACTCAATAGGAGTAATTGGCAGTAATTGCTAATTATCATTGCCATTTTGCAGGGAACGAAGGCGATGAGGCCTTAAAATGTGATTGATATATGCGGATATGAAAATGCATGCAACTCCATGCTAGAAGTCTGTATTGGTTGTGTTGGAGAAAATTCTTCATTAGGTTTTAGTTGATAGTGTGGAGCGCAAAAAATGGAGCTTCTCCCTGTTGAAGTCGTTGGCAACATTCTTTCCCATCTTGGTGTTGCACGTGATGTCATGGTTGCCTCTGCGGTATGCCGCAAGTGGCGAGATGCATGCAGGAGGCACCTTCGTTCACTGTCCTTCAACTCCGATGACTTTCCACGGGACATGACTACCCGTCAGTTGGAGATTGTCATCACACAAACTATATTTCAGACTATGGGGCTGCAATGCCTTTCGATTCATATCGATAACACTCACGAGTTCTCTGCAGCACCAGTGATTGCATGGCTCATGTATACCAGGGAGACACTCCGGAGCTTGTCTTACAATGTCAGGACAATACCCAATGTAAACATTCTTGAAAAGTGTGGTAGACAGAAGCTCGAAGTGCTAGATTTAGATCATAACACCATCACAGGTGTTGAACCAAGCTATCAGAGGTTCACTTGTCTGAAATCCCTTTCCCTGAGGCATGTCAGCATTTCGGCCTTGGATTTGAGCCTTTTAGTTGCTGCTTGCCCGAGAATAGAGTCATTAGCACTTGATGTCCTTGAGGTTGTCACTTCAGACTCACAATCTACGATGGAGCTCACAAGCCATACATTGAAAAGTCTCTTTGCAAAATCGGTAGGTGTAGATAAGATCATACTTGATGCAGATAATTTGGAAGTTCTGCACCTGAATGCTTTAAATCTTGATCTGTTTGAGCTTAATGGGAAAGGAACACTAAAGCATCTTAAGATTGATGATGTCAGTGTTACTCATTTGGATATTGGGGACAATACTGATCATTTGGAGGCAGTAGACGTGAGCAACTTCACAATAGTGTGGCCAAAATTCTATAGCATGATATCCAGAGCATCTAATTTGCGTATGCTACGATTTTGGGGTGTTGTGTTTGATGACGAGGATGAAATTGTGGATTCAGAAACTATAGCTGTTTCATTTCCTCTTCTTAGGCATCTTTCATTGAGTTATGAATTACGAGATGGGTTACTTCACTACAGCCTTCAGGGATCATCACCACTGGAGAATGTCTCAGTTCTGGAACTTGGTTGGACAGTAATAAGTGAGCACTTTGGACCCTGGGTGTTTGGTATGATTGGAAGGTGTCCAAATCTCAAGAAACTTGTTATTCATGGTGTTCTTTCTGAGGCAAAAACGCGAGAGGAGCGCCAGATGTTAGCAAGCTTTACCTCATTCATAGTCTGCCTCATGAGGAAGTATGTGCATGTCGATGTACAATTTGAGTATGAGTGACATCTACTAGGTTTGCTGGGCATCTTGCCATTGTTCAGTTGAAGCCGTGCCACCAGGTAACCTTTTGCTTCTTGTGGCTTCAAAATATTTTATTCAGCATGGTCTTATTACAGTTTTCTGTTCTCTGTGTCACTGGCTTTTTATAAATGGTTTGTTTTGGGTCTAATGTCTGTCCTGTGAGAGTGTTACTTTGTATGCAAAATCCTTAGCACCAAAGCAAAATTTACAAAACAACCTATTCAGTTCCAGGTGTTTAGGATTTTGGTGCAACTTAATAATGGAACAATAGTAGCCAGCAAGCGATTAAGCAATTTTAGGAAAGGATCCCAATACTGTAATTGACTGTTTTTTTCTTCATGATTTTGCTTAAGAGTCAGCTTGGCTGTACCATTTATATTGGAATAGGTAGGAGTTCCTGCCGACAACAATGGCGGCAGTGGGCTGGGGTCAAGCCCCGACTGCTCTGCGCTTAGGGTGAACAAGAGTTGGGAGAAATAGATTGATCTATTACTTGCATTTTCCATATTACATCAAGGGCTTTATATATAGGCCAGACTACAATTGCCCCTTGCACAAGTTATCAAACTTACTAAACTTAACTAATCCAATCTATTGAAAATATTTGCTATCCAATCGAATATTTGAACTAAATCTAAACCTTCCTATTCTGTCGCCTATATGTGCGCTTGGAAGGACAAGGCATGATGACCTCAATCATACATCTTCTTGGTCTTGACCTGAGCTTGTTCCAATTAAAAGCGGACATCTTCCAAGAACTCTGCACACTCTGCCAAGGTTTGTGGTGCCACGGCGGCATCATGAACATTCACCGCCTTGTAGGAGTGGAGCGAGGCAGGAGGGGTGTCGTGGCCATATAACAGCTTGGGCAGGGTTTCCTTGAGCGCTACGTGGAAGGACGTGTTGTAGATGTACTCGGTCTCAGAGGCTGATCGCTGGTCATGCACCAGAGGTACGTCACGATCTTGTTGACCACCTCCGTCTAGCTGTCAGACTAGGGATGTAAAGTCGGTCTCATGAGCCCGACGCCTGGAACAGGACTTGCCAAAATGCAAAAGTGAACACCGGACTGCGATCGGAGATGGAGGTCGGAACGCTGTGAAGGCGGAAGATCTCGGCGAAGAATATGCGCACCACTGATTCAGTGGAGTAGGGATGACTCATAGGATGAAGTGGGGGTACATGGCTAGGTGATCAACCACCGTCAAAGTCGAGGGCTTGAGGCTGATGTCGCTCTATATGGCAGTGAGCAATGGCGAGGAATGGAGCAAGCCAGCTGGGGCCAAGGTCTCCGTCTTGTTAGTCTTGGACGATGCAACGCTCTTGTGGAACATTGAAATTGCGGTGGAGGCGTTGTATTGTACCCCTTCATGGGCGTCGTCATGCGCTGCCGCCAAGATCACCGGAAGGTGAGTGCAGCCCGCCAAACATAACGAGGCCATCCACCAGGGCCCAAGGTGCGCCACGAGTTCTAGCCATGATGTCGTCGTGCACGGCCTGCAATGCTGGGTCTGTTGTGGTCGCCTGCTTGTATGCTGCGAGGAGGTTGAATGACTGTGTCGAGACGGCGAGGCAGGTAGCAGCAGTGTCATTAGCTCATTGCTCCTGGATAGTGTGTCTGCCACCGTGTTCAAGCATCCTTTCTTATATTCATTATTCAACAACAAAGTTTATAGTGGCTGACAGACTGCTGCCCCGTCCCCCCCCCCCTGCAGCTCTTGCAGTCGTTATTACAGTCTGCTTGTCAATTTCACATGACATATCGCAGCACTTAAAAGGTCCATGACAGTTTTGGGCTTCTGGCATTAGCTTTACTAGTTTCACAATATATCAATTATTTGGCTGCTTATATGTTGTCATTTTATATGAAATGTGGAAGTATACACTGAGTCAGTGATAGAGCTATAATACAAGTTTTGTTGTATTCACAGGTCTAAGGTCTATTAATACAGTTGAGTCTTGTTAGCGTCTATCAGCACAACCTTAAGAGCAATAATACTATGTTTCACTGCCCTTCGTATAACTTTCCTTTTCATTTTATGCATTTGGCAGATTTGCTTCTGTTTCTACATCATGAGGACTGGTGTTGTAAATGTCAGCTCGGGTGCATGTCAGATCTGCATTGTTAAAGAAAGTTCGTGCTGATCTCTTCACAGATGTCTGCATGGCATATGCATTACAGTAGAGGCTGCAGAACGGAATGCTCTCCTTTTCTGGAACAAAATCCTCCCCTTTCTACATTATATCAACTGGAATGGATTGCTTATGTTGAGATTTATTGCCCCATGCCACATGATGTCAAAACCTTTTAATCTATTCGTGAGACTAATTTTGAATCAAAATTCTTTCAAATACTGTAAAGTATTTTATTTAGAAAAAGTGTAAATTGACAACTTCATGCTCGCAGTAAAGTGTATGGTTGATTCCCCTGGGAAATTCGGCATTCACCATTGCCACTTTTTACCTTGACATTCCACTCCAAGGTATTCCATGCTAAATTGATAATTACTCCACATGGCAGCATCACTGCCTAATCCTAGTTATCCAAGATAGGGTTTGTTATGAAATCTAGGATCAGTGTTTGTGCAGTTATTCTATTTGAACTTTCGTTTTACAGTTGTTTATAACAGAACATGTTCCATGGCGGGTCATATAGAATTTATGGGTCCGCTCTGGCCTGCCAATAGATGCTCCTCACTATTGATGCAGGTTCACTTGCTATTCACGAATTTTCATTTAACAAGTTGCAACATTAGATGAATGCTGGATTTGTTTGGGTTGGGTTGGGTTGACAAAATCTCTGTTGCACCATTATGTTTCTGATTTATTTGGGTAGAATCAGTTCTACTATCATTCTACATGGACTGCTTAAGTTCTGTTCCACCCTGATCTGCTCTCCATTGCTAAACTAATCCGTTGGCTGCTATTATGAGAATCTCATGTTAATCGTCCCATTGAAATATGATCCCCCCTCCCCTGTTGACCTGTCACCTGTTCCATAAAATATGATGAGACAACTCACACTGAAACAGTGTTTTTCAGCCGTACTTTTCAACTTGTCTTGTAATCCGTACTTTTCACTTATTTTTTCAGCTGGAAACGTTGTTTTTCTCCCACAACAAATCAGTCGGAACAGTGTTTCGCTGTTCTGAAAGTTCAAACTGTTGACTTTTTCTGTGGCAGTTGCTTTGCTATACAAGTTTAGAGGTGAGAATTTCGTAGTGGCATTGGCATCAGCCAGTAACACACTAGCACAAAATCTTTCTTTTCCCTCTCAAAGTCTAGTGGATGAAAAAAGAAAAAAGAGAGGATGCAAGCCGTGGAACCATTTGGATTAATCCATATTCCGGCCACTGAGCGTGAAATTCCAACTGAAGTCATGTCAAAACAAAAAAGGTTTCGGGACTAAATTTTAGTCCATGTCACGTCGGACGTTCGGATGCTAATTAGAAGGACTAAACATGAGTTAATTATAAAACTAATTACACAGATGAAGACTAATTTACGAGACGAATTTATCAAAGCCTAATTAATCCGGCATTAGCACATATTTACTGTAACACCACATCGTCAAATCATGGACTAATTAGGCTTAAAAGATTCGTCTCGTAAATTAGTCTTAATCTGTGCAGTTAGTTTCGTAATTAGTCTATATTTAATACTTTATGTATGTGTTAAATATCCGATGGGATATGGACTAAAATTTAGTCTGCGAACCAAACGCCAGAACGAGATGTAAAAGTGGTGCAATCCAAGACTATGATGTCGCTGCGAACTGCGATGTCATATACATAATAACTGAAAATTACCATGTCTCGTTTTCGCTCTTGTAATTTGCCACTGTTGGACGGCACACGGCAGAGAACGATTCGCCAGAACTTCATGTCCATCTCCCCTCTTCTTGCGTGTAGCTCACTTGCTGATTCCCCAACGTTCTCTGCCCAATAAAAAGGAAAAAAACTGGAGACGAGACTGTACAGCGCAGGCCTATTCTTGCCAAAAGATTTGCAAAATCTACCGAATCTCTGAACAACGAATTAGACCGGCGACCTTCTACTGGCACTGGCTGGGGTAATACTGTACAGTATAGTATTTTTTTCCCCTCCTGCGGCCCTTTCTCCGTACGTACTGTTCAATGATTCACTGAAGAGTCTGGCATTCGGCACATGAACAGGTAAGCCTTTTCTAGCTTTAGCCTTGACCGAACCCGGTTGAACAAAGACTTGCTAGGGAGAGAAACAGGTGATAAAGAAACTACTGCTAGTAGTGAGAGTAAACCAAAAAGAATTTTCCAGAGAAAAATGAGCTTGGTTTGGCTTTTACGGCTCATGCATGGATTATTAAGCAATTTGGTGAAGTGACCTGAGGAGTTGGCCAGCGAGTATAAATGCAACTTCTTTTGGAGTAGTTTATGATGCACTTGAGGCCCTACTTAGGCAAAGGATTAGGCACTAATGACCAGTCAGCAACTTGGCCAGAACTCACACAATGTGTTTAGTGTGATCCCTATCTGCATTTTATCCACGATAACCTCAGGATTCAGGGGGGCGCGGAGAGGAAGGGGGAATGGCAGCCAAGAGGAGGCCAGAGTGAGGGCTTCTCCAAGAATTAATTCCCCTGAGGAAACACCGTTTTTAATATTTGATGAATGACAATGCACTGATGTTGACCCATGCAGACAGGGATAATCCCAAACAAACCCATTTCCAAGCACCTACTAGAATTATGTATGTTCCATACCCCTAGGATTTATATTTTCACACTGTAGGTTGTATCCATATCATATTTTTGTGGTGCTTTGGTTAGGGTTGGCTTCAGACTAAACAAAGCTATAGTTGCTTGTGACAATTATAGATGCATGCATGTATTATGGAGTGAGGGCATAGAGTTTGACGAATGCCCTCTTCGCTTTGGCTTCGTTTGGCTGATAAGCCATGGCTGAAAGTACTGTTGGCTGATTTATTATGAAAGAAAAATACTGTATTCGTTAACTAAAAAAGTACGGTTTATAAGCCAAGCGAACAGGGCATCGACTTCCCTGTCTCTCCTAGTCCTAGCTACGTTTCCTCCCTCTCTGATCCGCTCTTCTTAACACGCATGATAGGAGAAGAGGAGATGGATGGAAGTATCGACCAACTTCTCAAGCTCCCCAACCCCCTTCTTTTTAAGCTTGTGTTCCTTTCTCCCTCTATTCTCTTTTCTTTTTCCCCCTTTCTTCCCTGCCTATCTTCTCTCTATTCAATGCTCCTTTTGTTGAGTACTTGCCGTCTCAGAGGCGAGGGGCCAGAAGGCGGCCAATGAGAGGTGAAAGGTGGTTACAAGGAGTGGAGTAGGAGACAGAAATGCTGACAGAAAGCCCTACCACCCCTCTCGCCTCTCTCTGCATCTCTCTCCCTCCTTCCCTCTGCATCTCCCCTCCGTCCCCAACAGCCCCCCCCCAGCTAGCTGTTACAAGCCTGTGAAAAAAAGAGACGGCAGGACGTGTTCAAAAGGACAAGATCTTCTTTGCAGTACAGTGAATGAAACTCCAAGGCTGATTCAATTCGCCAGTGCTTCAAACAAGGGAAAGCAGTGTGTGAGAGGAGAGCTGAGAAGAGAAACAAACAAAGAGGAGGGCTCTCCTCTCTTCTGTGCTTGCATGCTTTTGCTAGAAGGATGGTATGCACGCAGCATCTATCTCCTTTCTCTTGCTCTCTGCCAGTCTGCCTCCCTTCTTCTCTTTTATATTGTCCATCGCCACCGCTCACAGCTCTTCCTGCTTGTCTCTTGTTGGTCGTAGAGCTAGCCCTGGCCATGGTGCAAGGAGAGGAGAGTTCTTGGAGGATGGAGAGGGCAGCGCTGCCTCTCAACCAGGCGCTCGCGTATGGAGTCCAAGCCCACGCCACCGCCGCTGCACCGCCGACCTGCTTCCTGTACTGCCTCTCAGCCTCTCTCTCTCTCTCTTCCCTCAACTTGTTACTTCGCGGTTTGTCTTTGATCCATCTGTCAGTCGTCTTCTACCTCGCCTCACCCAACCCAATTCCAAGAAGCCGCCGGCCGCATGCAAGACCACCAGAGCTCTGCCGCTGCCTGCAACCTTTTCCGCGTCGCAAGACTCGCAACTAGCTCGCTCCGCTCCCAGCACTTGCCGTGTTTTCAAATGTTTGAGTGCGCAACTTGTTTAAAGTATTTTTCGCCCTCCTTTTATCCGTCTTTATAACAGACCGATTCCACAAGCTTATGCCGTGCCACTTTGGTTGGATTACACCTCTGCCCACGCACCAAAAATTTTCTTAATGCTCAAGGCCTGAATAATCCTGCGAGTGCGAGTGATTTGTTTGGGCACCGAGATCGATCGGCACCATCTTTTCTCCTTGTCATCCTTATCTGCTGCCTGCCCCAGCCACATCCACAGCTACAACAAGCCTCGTGCTTTACGCAGTCTCGGCCTTTCCATTCTTGAAAAGTTTTTATCTGCTACTAGCTTCGCCTTCGCCTCGCCTGTCGCGGGCTAAAGCTTAGGGGGCTGGGCGGGCGATGACTGATGGGTTCTGTGAGCGCTAACTGCTTGGGCAGGGACTTCCAGCCTGCGGTCGCAGCCGCTGCCTACTTCGGGTTCGGGGAGCTGGAGGAGGCCCTCATCCATGGCGGAGGCGGCGCTGTCAACGCCGGCGGCGTCGATCCCGGCGTGATCATCAAGAACGACGTCGCGCAGGCAAAGTGTAAGCTTTTTTTTCTTCGTCTTCGTTCTGTCTCCGGAGTCCAGACCTGGGCTCTACTTGCCAAAAAGGCGCGTTCGTTTCTTGCTCGGCTGCGCACGGGCACAGCGACGCACAGGGCGAGACATGCCTCGCCTTTTGTGTTCCTGCCGGTTTCCATTCCTATGCAAACAGTGTGCATATGCAGCAGCTGCACCTGCACCTGCATATAGTGGTGCGATGCCCCGATGCCGATGCCACAATCATGGAAAGATCTCGTTTACTCTCCTCGGCTCCTCGCCTACTGTTTGCATTCCTCTAGCCTTAGCTCCTCTCCTCTCTCTCTTTCTCTCTGTGCAAGCTCATGGAGGAGGATGGAGAGAGGGAGAGGAGAGAGATGCATGAACAGGGAAGGAATCGACACTCCGTAAGGCCCCCGTGTTAATTCTCTTTGTATGTATGCATGCAGCAGCGGCAGGATATCTCGCGGGCGCCGGCAGGCCCCCCACGCTGGAGATCTTCCCTTCGTGGCCAATGAGGCATCAACAGCAGCTACACAGTGTAAAGGCCCCGCCTCCTCTCCTCCCAATCTCCCATGATCACTGTGATTCATGCACGCACGCATTCATTCACTCGTCGCCTCGCTTCTCTCGTCGTCTCCTCTCGCTCTCCTCTGGGCTCTGGCTCGTGATCGTCGCTGAACCCAATAAAAGATGTGGCTGTTTCTTTGTCGATTCGCTCTCTGTATGTGGTCTGCACCTGCAGGCTGCAGCCAGCAGCCACGAGGAGGCGAGCCGAGCCAGGGGTGGTAAAAGAGGATGAAGACGAGAGAGAGTCAGAGAGCGAGCGATGCCCGTTAATTGTTGGCTGCCGATCGGTTTTTTTATTTTACCGCAGCAGCACTAGCTAGCAGCAGACATGGCATAATATAATAAATCCTTTTACCCGCCGCTCACTGTTGCTGTGTAATTGCTGAACAGGGGAATTCGCAGTCAGTAGGGAGCACCACTGACTCGAGCTCAGCTCAGAAGACTACAATAATGTCTCAGATGGAGCTGGTGTCCCCAGCCTCCTCTACGCCGCGGCAGGAGGTCATGATGGTGACCACTGATGATTACAGCTACAAGCCAGGCCTCGCCGCTGCGCCCGCTGCTGCCGCCCCGCCGAGCTTTCAGCAGCACCACCCGCTCCCGCTGCAGCTGCACGGAGACGGAGGGGGAGACCATGACAAGGTACCACTGCGTCCTCCTCTGCCCTGGCCGGCTGGCCCTGCCCTGCCGCACCAGTGTGTCCAGTGCACCACACCACAGCACAGCGCACCGCAGCGCCACACCCTTCATCTTTTCCTGGCACAGCATGCACCCGTCCGTAGTACTAGCGTCCCCTCCTACAGTCCTACTAGGTAGAGTAGATGGCTAGTTCCAGTACACCAGCTCCATCCAACCTACAGCCGCCGAGAGAGAAGAGCTCCATCCAACACGACTCACCAGTCTCTTCAGAATATTGCCGTCGAATCGTTGAAAAACTCGCGGTACGCACTGTGGTACGAAACATGCTGTTCTTTCATGTCACACACACCAACGCCGGCCGAGGCGCGATGCACGTACGGCAAAGCCAGCACTGTGGTGTACGGTACCCCCACCCCAGCAGCCACTCTGCTGCAGCTTACCTCATGGCCACATAGTATCTTACAGTATAGTTGAGGGCCACTGGGCCAGGCCTGCCTCTAAACACAACGGCATTCCACTCCATGCATGCGTGTTCCTTGCGCGGGAGATGTCATGTGGCCTCTGAATAGAAAGCCAGCCATGTCCATGATTGCTTGATGCTTGGGGGAAATTAGGCCATGTTTAGATTCCAAAAATTTTCATCCCAGGCAGTCTTGGATGATTGTAGACTAAAAAAAACTAATTGAGAAATCATGAGCTTTCGAACATAATTAGTTCATAATTAGTCAATCAAACAGTAGTCAAACCTAAAAATATTTGGGAACTAAACGCTCCCTTAACCAGGCAGTCCTGGATGATTGGACTAGTGACAGCTGGTCAATCCTACGGAGAGGACGCTAAACGATGGACAGGGTCATCCCTAACCTCCCTTTTGTCTCTCCCTGCTGGGTGGATGGATAGCATAACCCCATCCGTCTCCCTGCACCTTGCCGCAACAGGGCCGTGGCTGCCAACAGCAGCGGCTGTCCGGCACACTGAGCTTTCGGGGACAGCTACAGCCAAAAGCTAGTATTTGTGCTTGGAGAAGATGGACAGTGGCAGTGCTGGTGCTGTTGCATCCGTCGACGATGGACGACAGGAGCTTTGGCTCTTTGTTTCTTTCTGTGCCGGCCCTGTAGTAGTTCGGTCTGTTCATTTGGGTTGGTTTACCGGGCTTTGATTTAGGGCTGGTGATGTTAGTTTATATCGTGAAAGGAAAACACTTTGTTGGTACCTTGGTTTTGTTTACCGACCAAACAAAAAAAAAAAAGCGAACAGGCCGGTTGCCTTTAGTTGGATGGCGAGATGGATGGTGTGCACTGTGTTGATGCGTAGGAGAAGAGAACGGATAGGGGATACTACTATACCAGTACACGCATGCTCTAACTCCGCTGGCTTTTTTGTGGTGTCCTTTGCAGAGGAAGCATGGATCCACAAGAAAAGATGGCAGGTTGGTAGATGCCAAGGTAGGATATATAGCTCTCTGCCCTTTGCATGCATGGCCACTCCATCACTTTGCATGGACCTGCATCTATCTGTTTCGTTTTGCCGCCACTCACCATCGAGTATTTGAGTCGAATCGCTGTGAATCCTTCCTTGCAGACGGAACGGCGGCTGGCGCAGAACAGAGAGGCTGCGAGGAAGAGCAGGCTGAGGAAGAAGGTGCGTCACTAGAATCACGGCCAGTGCCACCCATGAACTCAGTGATTTTTGTTTTGTTTCAATCAATCAGCGAAAAGAACGCATGCATGAATGAATGGTCCTCGGGCCTGGTTAGATTGGGGTTAGGAATCAGTATTTGGCACTGTAACATTTTCGTTTGAATTTGACAATTATTGTCCAATCATGGCCTAACTAGGTTCAAAAGATTCGTCTCATAATTTATAATCAAACTGTGTAATTAGTTATTTTTTTATCTACATTTAATACTTTATTCATGTGTCTAAAGATTTAATGCGATGGAGAGAGAGTAAAAAAACTTGCAATCTAAACGAGGGCTGGGATTGCTGAGAGTAATCTACTCGTCCTTTCACTGCAGGCTTACGTGCAGCAGCTCGAGACTAGCAGGATCAGGCTTCAGCAGGTCGAGCATGAGCTCCAGAGAGCACGGTCACAGGTTCGTTCCAGTCCGAACTCCAAAACGTCTGCATCGGATCCAAGTTCGTATCATTCAGAGCTTTGATAAGACATGGGTTTACCGTGGTCCAGGGCCTTTTCGTTGGAGGGTGCAGCGCCGCCGGGGACATGAGCTCTGGTAATGCAGCACCGGCCGTCCGCTTTCTCCATTCATAGTACCACTGCTCCAAAGCTTCGAGCTTTTTAACCGTGCCATGCAGCAGCTGTGGCCTGTAGCTGTAGCTGCCGCCGCAGGCCACGGCGCAGGCGCAGTCACCGAGATGATGCATGGCCGGCCGGCCGGCCTCGAGTGGCGTGAAAAAACGTGTCCTGCCAGCCAGTAACTCCGTTTTTACCGTACGACGTACCCATGCATGCAGGCGCCGCCATGTTCGACATGGAGTACGCGCGGTGGCTGGACGACGACAGCAAGCGGCTGGCGGAGCTCCGAGCAGGGCTGCAGGCGCAGCTGCTGGACGGCAACCTGGGACTCATCGTGGAGGAGTGCATGCAGCACTACGACGAGCTGTTCCAGCTCAAGGCGGCGCTCGCGCGCTCCGATGTCTTCCACCTCCTCACCGGCGCCTGGGCCACCCCTGCCGAGCTCTGCTTCTTCTGGATGGGCGGCTTCCGCCCGTCTGAGCTGCTCAAGGTATGTACGGTACCACTGCGTGCCATTGCCATGGCGTCCGTCCGTGCAAGCCCGCCCAGTCAGAGGCGGCGCGCCGTACTGAGCCTCTTTCTCTTTTTCTTTGGCATGCAGATCCTGATACCGCAGCTGGACCCGCTGACGGAGCAGCAGCTGCTCGGGATCTGCAACCTGCAGCAATCGTCGGAGCAGGCGGAGGAGGCGCTCGCCCAGGGCCTGCATCAGCTGCACGGGTCCCTGGCCGACACAGTCGCCGCCGGCACGCTCAACGACGGCGCCGCCGCCCCCAACTACATGAACATCATGGCCGTCGCACTTGACAAGCTTGCCAGCCTCGAAAACTTCTATCAACAGGTCACCGTCTTTTTACTCTCCTCCATTTCCTGCATCATTCACCGCCACCTTTAAGATCGTATTCTTACTGTAGATCATGATCATGGTCAGTAAATCTTTTTTTAACCAAAAAAAGAATTACACGGCGAGGAAAAGCTAGCTTAAACTTTCAAGTACGCTAGTCCTTCCCTGTCAGAACTGCACAGCAACGTAACAGTAGCAATGCAGCTGCTCCTCGTCCTGCAAGCTAAAGGGTCCTGTCCTGCTTTCTCCATGGCAGGGGCAGGCCAACCTTTTGTCAGAAAGCTAGCTTAAACCTGCAGATAAACGGATAAGCATCATTACCACTTTCCACCACGCATAATTAGCTTGTGATTAAACCAAGGTTTTAAATAGCCGGCTAAGCCATTTAGTTTTCTATGTCCAAAAACAGACTATAGCCGACTATAACGGCAGCTAAGAGCCAACTTTGTACATGGAAAAACTTAGTTAAATTCTTCTTAAACAGCTATAGCCGGAGATAGCGGAGACTATAGCTGAAGATTTAAAACCTTGATTAAACAACAAATAACAGGCTAGCTAATGCTGCTGGTCGACAATTATTGTATGTTTTCTATGTGTTGGTAGGGACCAAAGACGGCAAGGCTTTGAACCCTTTTTTTAGGCCATGTTTAGTTCCATCAAATTCCTAATTTTAACACTATGCAAAAAGAAGATTCTCCGTCACATCAAACTTGCGGTACATGCATGGAGTACTAAATGTTGATGAAATCAAAAACTAATTCCACAGTTTGGTTGTACTTTACAAGACACGTTTTGAGCCTAATTAGTCAACGATTGGACAATTATTAGCAAATAAAAACAAAACGTCACTGTAGCTATACACGGCCTAGGTGAAGATTTGGCGAGGCATTGTTCCTGGCCACACATGTTGTTCCTGGCCACACATGTGTACTGGCAGTACATACACGTACACACCTGTATCTTTCTACAGGAAGTCAATGGCCGGATACTTACAGTTGGCACTGTGCATAAATAATGCCCCTTGTATGTCTTCTCTGGGCCGGCCATCTCCTTTTTATTCCATTTTTTTAGAAAAAAGTCCTTTTTATTCTCTCCCTTCTCTGTTTGCTGGTGCCTCTGCAGAACAGAGGGCCCACAGCCAAAATAGTAGACTACTAGAGGCCTCATTCATGGTGTTCCATTCCATGCCTTGCAAAAGTTGCAAGGTTCAATCCATGCATAGTGGTCAGGGAAAGGACACAGACACCTAAGATTCAGCCCCACGGCCAAACAAGAAGCCTAAGGTTGTGTTTAGTTCGCGAAATAAAAAAAATTTAGATGTCATGTCGGATGTTTTAGAATGTCCGAAGGGGTTTTTGGATACTAATAAAAAAAACTAATTATATAGCTCACCTGGAAACTGCGAGACGAATTTATTAAACCTAATTAATCCATCATTAGCGCATGTTAGTTACTGTAGCACTTATGGCTAATCATGGACTAATTAGTCTTAAAACATTCGTCTCGTGATTTCCAACCAAACTGTGCAATTAGTTTTTTTTTCGTTTATATTTAATACTCCATGCATGTGCCGCAAGATTTGATGTAATAGTTTAGGGTGAATTTTTTGAGAACTAAACTAGACCTAAATAAAGATGGGCTTGCTGTTCCATCAGAAGTTGTTAAAGAAATGATCATGCCTTTCTATGGATTATCTTCTCTCTCAGGGGGGTAAAAGCTGATTGCGACCTCCATTTTGTTAGCTTGTTTTCAACTTTCCTGAGCTTTGATTCCTTTTGTAGACAGAACTTTGCTACAAGGCAGATGTAAAATAAGTTTACAACTTTTAGCAGCTAAAATTTGTTCCAGAATATGTACACTTCAGATCATGGGCCACCTAGTTTTAGTTGGTTTTACTACTCTCTATTTCTGAACTGTAATTATTACATATTGAAACAACTTTTGATAGAGATATATATGTAATTTTATAGTAGCGTTGATGTCTCCAAAACATTATAGAAATGCACTTATTTTAGGATGGGGGAGTATATTTACTAGATTCATGATTGGAGCAATCATTTCACACAAAGCCTTGCAATAATGATGCATATGAAAAAAAAAGACTTCAATAAACTCGATCACAGATGATATACCACCTCCTTTTTTTTTTTTCTTTTCAGGATAGAGGCTGCTTATTGCTAATACTTACATTAGATTTCTTTTCATTGCTCTGTAAGTATGTAAAACTACAAGGAAATGATAAGGACAATACACCATCAGTATGAAAAAATTGCTACACTATATAAAGTCCAAACTTTTCTGAAAACAACATTTCATTAGATTAAGCTTAAGCAGCAGATGGGAACTTTCAGCAATTGTCCAGACTAGAATATATCTGGGACAAGACAGAAAGACAGGAGTAGAATAGATGCATCTGCATGATCCGAGAATGCCCTGTCATTCAAGATATTGGAAGCGCCAATGTGCAGCATAGCCAAGACAAGAAACAACACTAATGTGACATCTCTCCTTTCTTTTCATGTGTTTGTGCTGTTCCAACTGCAGGCCGACAATCTAAGGCAGCAGACGTTGCATCAGATGCGCCGGATCCTGACCACTCGGCAGGCTGCGCGGTGCTTCCTCTCCATCGGGGAGTACTACAGCCGCCTCAGAGCTCTCAGCAACCTCTGGGCTTCCCGTCCCCTCGAGTAAGATTCACACTTGATCAACTGCAAATAGTAGACTCTCTTGTTGATCATCTGCACTGTGGCTGTTCCTGACCATGTCTGAATTACATGTATTCCTTAGTTTTTGAAAAGATAGAATCACTTGTTTTCAGATTTCATAATATGGAAAAGTCAGAGATGGACATGGCTAATAATGGTATGCATTTCTCGTGTAACAGCAACTTCATCGTGACAGAGAGCCTCAGCCCCACAGCAACGGAACTGCAAGCCCTGCACCACCAGCAGCAGAACCAGTTCACCGGATTTTGAGGTCTCAACTGGTGCTGGAGGGTGTAAACTTTGGCGGCGAGGGTGATGTTACAAAGATTAGAGGTTTTGAGAGGGAGATGCATTGTAATGTTCTATCATTAAAGTACTGAGAAAGCAACATCACTAGGCGAAAAGGACCGGGAGAAGGAATTGCTGTGGTGCGATGTTGGGTGGCTCACCTGTTCATATGGCTCTTGAACTGATTGAAGGGTTAGCACCGCAGAATTTTTGTGCGTAGCAGGAGAAAACAAAGCAGTGGCAGAAGATTCAACGAAGCAGTGGCAGAAGATTCTGGCTGCTCACTTGCCAGAGAGGACTAATTGCAATTAGAGTGACAGAGTAACCATTAAATACCTTTCCAAATCAAGTATTTTGGCAAACACATTTTCGGTAGTAGACTATCTCCAAGGATAATACCGCATTCGTGGACAGACAATAATCCATCATCTGTAGTTCAACAAAAGACAATGCAACAGGTACTGGTGGGCCACCTCATATACCATTTACCCACCACAGGTATTCATTTCCAGGAGTGCCTGAGCACCCCAAGGCAAGACTGATGGATCACAGACATCCAGGGCCACCTCATATACCATTTACCCACCACAGGTATCCATTTCCAGGGGTGCCCAGGTAGCAGCCCGCGGCAAGACTTGCCCCAGACTCGTCTATTCCAACTTGGTCAACACAACCCTCACCCTCCACGCACCCAAGTCATACACGCAGCACTCTTCCCATAGTTCAGATAACACTAGTTTCCACCACGCATCAATGTAGTACAAGCGTAATAGAAGTAATAAGCAATGATATATAGCGAAACGTGTGTAGCCTAATAGCAAGAAGAAAAGGTTGTTAAGGTAAAGGCCATCAAGTAAGCATACTCCATGCAGGTCCCTATCATAGTGTGAATATAACTAAAAAAGCAATAGCGACTATATTAGCTATGCGTAATAGGGCTAATTAGGTTGGGTGGGATGTGGCAAACGGAAGTCGTCCCCGCACTCCTCACGATACTCAATCCTCGTCCGCTTGATTCTCCTCCGAGTCCGCATCAAATTATATCGCGTGTGCAACACAGAATAACACAAAGTAGCAATGAAAATTCAAAAGAGCCAAATGCACTCAAACATGGGTTCATTGCGTAGAGCTCGATTTTAGATGAATTTTGGTCCTGATTTCATATTTTTCTGAGGTCGTATGAATTAGTTATGAATTTTTGAAGATTAAATCCATTTCTCGAAAATAATAAAGGCTGATTAATTCAGGTCGACACGTGTCACAAGTGACTTGTTCACGTGGATGTAGGGAGGAGTGGTGTATCACCAGCTTCGGAGAGGTCACATAACCTGAGATGAAGTGGTCAACTTATCAGATATCGCCGAGGTCCCGACAGTCTCATCTTGAATGATTCCAAAATCAGCTAAACTCCATGATGGGTCCTGGTCAACGGTGAATTAGCGATTCATGGTTGTTGGTCCATAGACCGCAGAGCCGCATGAAGGACTTTCCATTCAGAAGATACGACGTGCACCAAGTTCACGGGACGTAGGGAAAATCCCCATCTTCTTCCCCGGCGTGTGAAATCTGAGAGCTCACCGCGAGCCCCTCCTTTGTGCAATTACTGCAAAAAGCTTGGTCATGCCATCCAGTGTCACCAGAAAAACGTGGTGAAAGGATAAAAGGCCACAAGGTGGCTGTGGTGGCGGTAGGAGATTGGTGGTGCGCCACGATACAAAATAGAAAAAACGCCTGCTGGTGGTGGGGCAGTGGTCTCGAACCATGATTAGGGCTGTGGGCTTCATCCTCGGCTACTGTGTTTTTCGTCATGGCGGAGCCAGGTGTCAAAGTTGCCTTTGTGATGTAGAAGACGCGTGGTCTGCCATGGTTGTGCTCTCGTAGGGCGTGGTGGTCATGCGGTGTTCCCGAGCCGCTAAGACTTCGCTGCGTCGTGCGTGTGCAATTCACAAGACATGCTCTGTTGAAATAGATGAAATGTAGACACAACGAAAGAAAGTTTGGATTGTGGAAATAGCTGAACAATAACTAGTACTCGGCGGCTCTCCTCCTCCTCCCAGCGAACTTCTCCTCCTTGCTTCTCCTCCTCCCTCTCCCTCGGCAAGTGAAGAAAACATAGCAGCAGGGTTAGGGATCACGGACGTTGTATAGCTGAAGGGCTCCAATGGTGGACAATGATCGGCGGTGGTGATGAAACATAAACACATAAAGAAACATATCATGAGAGGGGCATTGTCCCGATAGCTATAAATGAGAACCCAGCAGGGTGTTGGGGTCCCCCCAAAGGTCCTCGGTCAAGGCAACAAAGGCACTTCCCTGGCCTTTTCTTTTTCTGCATTCAATTTTAGTTAGAGTTTAAACTTGAGCTTGAGTCATGTAGTGGGTCCCACAAGGTGTTTCAAATGGTGGTCAAAATACATCCATATATTAGGGATTATTGGCTATTTTGTTATACAAAAATAGTTGAAGTTTTATATAGGGTGTTTTATTCTTCCAACAAATAATTCATTATTTAGGGTTTATAAATATTAAGTCGTTAAACATCACATAAGTCAAAAGAATCCAAATCACAATGGAATTAAGGATGCATGCAAATTTATTTAGAATTTAATTACAAATAAAACAAACTATACCTAGTTGGGTCAGGGTTTGGCTTCTACATGTGTCACTCAACATCACATAGGGTTTAAACAAAAAATTTGTAGTTGTGATTTTTGATGTGTGGATTTTTATGTTGTTACAATGAACACTTGAATTAGGCGGTTGTTGCACAATGCACAGGACTTTCCATCAGAAGATACGACAAATAACATTCATGAAGCTGTGTGAAATCTTCGCTCCTTTTACTGCAAAATTTCTGATCCAGAAACACCAGAAAAATGGTGAAAGGATAAAAGGCCACAAGAGCATACAAAATAGAAAAATATGCTATTGAAGTGTCTGAACCATGATTAGTGGCTCAACTTGTTTGAGACTAAAATGCTTTGTTGTTGTTGTTGTAAGGCAGAAGACTTCACAATTCACAAGACAAGGTTGAAATAGATGAAATGTAGACACAACAAAAGAAAGTTTGGATTGTGGAAATAGCTGAACAATAACTAGTAACTACCGAATCAAGTGAAGAAAACATAGCAGCAATATTGAATGCAGGCTTAACAAAAGAAACATATCACATATAGCTATAAATGAGAACCCAGCAGAAATGCAGGATAGCAGGGTTTTCCGCCCAAAAGGGTCCGGCAACAGCACTTCCCTGGCAAGCATTCAATGAGAGGCAGGGACACTGTTATAAGGGGGTATTTGGTTCTTTAGTCGTTTCTAAAATTTATGTCACATCGAATGTTTAGATATTAATAAGGAGCATTAAATATAGATTAATTATAAAACCAATTACATAAATGGAGGCTAATTTACGAGACGATTTTTTAAGCCTAATTAATCTGGCATTAGCACATGTTTACTATAGCACCACAGTGCCAAATCATGGACTAATTAGGCTTAAAAGATTCGTCTCGCAAATTAGTCGCAAGTTGTGTAATTAGTTTTGTAATTAGTCTATATTGAATACTCCATGCATGTGTCCAAACATTCGATGTGACAGGAATTTTAGGAGGCACTGCAGGAACCAAACAGGCCCTAAAAAAGGAGGAAAGGACACTAAATTTTACTTAAAGAACTACCAGGGTGTAAAGCTATAATACTGTAGATCTCTTGTTAGTCTAGAGGGGGGCGAATAGGTCTGTCAAAATAAACACTCAAACTTTCATCAAATTCAACTGCATGGACTTTCTTTGCTCGACCTCATGACCTTTGCTAAGCGGTAACAGCGACACTGCTGCACTTTTCTGATTTCCGAGTCACGATTCAAAATCAGTGAATAAAAACTTGAATCGGAGAAATTTTTTAGCTTCCTGCAGGTATGAGATTCACAGATCGAGAGTTAGAAGTGGTAGGAACACAACACACAAATAGATCGACCACAAACCCCAAAAATCACCTCAACAACAATATAAAATACAAATGATATAAATCAAACACAAGGTGACACGATGATTTAACATGTGGTTCAGCTCGCCACCAATGCTTGCCTACGTCCACGTTATTGAGGTTAGCCACTAAGGCTTAGGGCTTTGTAACCCTTTCTCGTTCTCAAGTCAAGAGACTCAACTCTTGAGATGAGGGGTGAGTTTACTAGCTTGAAGAGGTGGTTACAAACCTCCTGGGGCTGTCACACAAGTTGGCAAGCTCCACGGGCGATGCTCTAACCGGCTAGGAGCAAAGCTCCAAGAGTAATAAACACAACCATCGGCAAAAATGTGAACCAAGTATTTTTTTTTAGTTGGGGAATCAAAGGATCTGCTCTCAAATTGAGTTTGGGACCTTTTCTCTCAAGGATTGATGGGAAATCAAGGAAGAATGCTTGGGAGCTCAAGGTCACTAATGGAGGAGAGAGAAGGACACTTTTATGATTTTGGATGAGCTGAATGAGTGGGAGAGAGAAGAGAGATATTGGAGAGGAAGGAGAAAGGTATAAGTACCCCCAGCCCCAACGGTCACTTAAGTCGTGGCAGTGCCTCTCTCCAAATACGACACTGCCGCACCAGACAAGACAAAGAATGGTAAGAGTGAAGTGTTGGTTGTCTTAGCTGAGTAACTAAGGATGTATGTATAAGATTGAGCATTTGGTAGCACATGTTAGCTTAAGCATTGTGTCCCCCTTTATAGTATGGTTTTTCTTATACTCAAATTCAAAATATAAAAGAATTTAAACCTCCTTTGAGTTCTAAGCCATCAACATTTGTAATTGGGGGCTCCTCCGTTTCATGTAACATCCTCGAATAAAAATTCCCTGATTGTCATCTCGATAAATTTCATTAGTTCTCTAATTGCGTGATCATTATCATCAAAACCCATAATTAGGGCTTGATTGCACTTTCAATCTCCCCCTTTTTGGTGATTGATGACAACCCAATTAGAGCTTACAA